AGGGGTGCCTTCAGCTCGGTGGCCCTGCCCTTGTCTCCCCCGGGACAACCCTCCAGACACAGATCTGGGCTCTAGCTACTTACTAGGGTTTTCTTTTGGAACTGATTCCAAGCGGGAATTTCTTAGAGAAGATCCATTTTCAAGCTGGATAGTAAGCATGTCTAGAGCAAGATAAGCCAGAACGAGTCAGGATCCAAAACCTGGTTATAAAATTGAAGGGAGGGACTCGGTTTCAATAACATATGATCCACCCTCCCCATCCCATTGGAAGCCTCTTACCAGGCTGCCGGAACGGTGAGCAGACAGAAAAATACCTACCTAAGGCTGATGTTTTAAAAGTCCACAGGTTGGGTCAGATAGTGTTTGGAGTGCGTTTGTCCAGTTTCCTGTCTTTTTCTATATGCATCACATTGGAGTAGAACCAGGAAGTACTGATCACTCAAGTGGAGCCAGCGGATGGAGCAGAGCCCTGTGCACATTTCACAGCCTTGCCCTCAACACCGGGACCCAAGTGGACCACTGGCAGCCCTGGGAGGGTGTTAGAAATGCTGATCTTGCACCTTCCTCTGGATGTACTGAATCAGAACCCACGTTTTAACAAGATCCCGGTGATTGGTTTGCATACTGAAATTTGAGAAGTACGGCTTTATAGTGATAACTTTAATTTTTCTCCCCTTTTGGACTAATCCAGCCATGTACTGAGAGAAGATCTGCTGAATGATGAGCTGCAGGGATTTGCTGAATGGGCTGCTCTTTGTTTCTCTACCAGCTGCACGCCTGCTGTCCTTAGGGACTGATTACACCCCATAACCAACTGTGTGGAAGGCACATTTATCCACACAAGCTGTTCCTGGGAAGGTGTCTTTAAATAAAATCACACAATACACACAAGCTATGTGTGCGACTGTGCGGTGTGAAGCTGACAAGCTAACATTTGTCAAAAAAAACCTACGGGAAATGTTCCGTTTTGCCACTAGGTGGAAATAGAGTAATTCTGAGTATATTTTTAGGGCCATGGGAAATCATTTAGTGTAATTTTTACCATCTTAATTTCACAAGCAAGAAAACTCAGGTTCGGTGACATTAAGTAAAATGGCATCTGTCTTACAAATGGAAGCTTTCTAGAGAGACCGGGGAAGAGTTGCTGGTAATTCCTAATTTTCAACCACTTTCCTCCAGAAGAGAATGTGTTACTGTCCTGCAGTGGGAAGGAGGGGAGGGTGTGACACCCAGATGCCCCCATTCTGTGTGTAAGGACAGGCAAGACCACAGGCGGCCCTTGTGCCCTGTATTATAATGCAATTCATCTCAATCAGGTGAAAATGCTCCCCTTTCTCCAAAGAAGAAACACTGAAGCATCCATCAAGTCCTACAGGACTTTCACCAGATTTGTCTTCACATTTTTGGTTTTTATGCCTCACACGGGGCTCAAGGTAAGTGGCCTAGACCAGGACTCTAGTTAGCAGGTTAAGGAAGTGCTTGCTGTTTTTCAGAGCCTGAAATCCATTGCCGTTCCTCTTAAGGAAGAAAGGGAATCTGGGTTTGCAGGACGTTGGAAATGACCTGCCCCAGTCCCTGTCTGAGCACATACTACCGATGGGAGGCTTTGGAGAGAGAGCCCTCGCCAGGCCCTTTGTCCCAGGGAGACACTCATAGATGTTGGCCTATATCTTTGTTTGTTGATGTGTTTTAACCACAAAAGGATTGTTTCCACTTATCACATCACAAAGTGAGTTTAAAAGTTAAGTTTCAGGTAATGCTTCTGGCTTAAAAACGATTTCTTAAGCACCTAAATACTTAGTATTATAGTGACGTTTCCCTTTTGATGTTTCTGGAACATGATTGATTATGAGCCTTTAAAATGTAGTATGTCAGTGCTGAGTCCTGGCTATTGTTACCTTATTCTATACAAAAACGGGTAAATGTTGGATGGGCACATTAGGAATGCAAGTGCAAGCCCACAGTGGCTGCCTGCGGGAGGGGGGGGGGGTGGTGGGAGGGGGGACGGGGGGAAGCAGCCACTACCCGCCCAGGCAGCTGGAAGCCAGTTCTAGCATCACTGAGCAATGACCCTCAAGTGCCCTCAGAGCAGCAGAGCGCAGCGCAGGCTGAGACAAGTGCACACTGCGCGCTCAGTACGAAGACGGTACCTAAAATCATATATGCCAGGACCTGGCACAGTCTCGCACTTCAAAGGCCCTCGATAAATATTTGATTACTACACTACCCAAATAGAAACCAAGCCTGAAATATTGAAACAGCACAAAAGGAAAACTGGGGTGACCTAAACTTAAGGGCAGGGACTTAAAATGAAAGGGAGCCCAGGGAGGGGAGAAAACGCCCTGAGGCATGCTGGGAGATGACACCAGCTAGGGCGCAGGGGCTGCAGCCAGAGGCCGCCAGGTGTGGTCCTACTTCACAGGCTCTGCGGGGAGAAGGACTGGACAGGGATTCGGCCCTGCACTCCCCCAACCTTCCCTGCCTTCTTTCCTCTTTAAAAAGCTGGGATAACACTTGTTAGCAAAACCTGGGTGGAGATCAGCGTTACTGGCTGTGAAGTGCCCGGGACCACATGTCCATCAAGGAGCCGCCTCTCTGCGTGGCAGCTCCCTCACCCGAACCCACCCTTCCCCACGGAGACCAGGGTCCGCTCCTGTGACAGGTCCACCGTGAACAGTATGCCTTCTATGCAGGTACAGGGTGTTTGTGGTGGCTAACGCGCAGAGAAGGGGCCGTGGGTCTGCCGCCTCTGGGGTGCAGAGAAGCTGAAGGGCTCGCTTCTCTGGGAAATGTG